ATGAGATGTTTTAGGGTGCACGGCTAACAGCATTGTCATTGGTGATTCACAAGACTGGAGTCTGTCAATCATCACCTGGCCACACCTAGTCACACCCACTACTTTGTGAATTGACAGCATTGCCTCTGTTGCTGAGGTCCTCCCAGGGTAAGCTGCAGTGTCTGGAAGGGGCAGAACGTGAAACAAAAATGAGGATTTCACTTAAAGGAATTTTTTGTTTAATTTATTAGGCCTGTGCATCAACTAGTGACTGATTTTGGTACTTGTTTAGACTGTTATACTGTAACGTATGTGTGTATAGCTAATAATCAGACAAAACTGCATGTTGAAACCACGAAATGTTTTTAAACTGTATTTTATAATTAAAATTAGTAATTGTATTAGTAATGAATCTGCAATCAAGCTTGCTCAAATTTTTGCCTAGATGACAATGCTCTTGTAGCCTCCTGGGATATCCTTGTCAAATATCCTAGGAAGCAGCAGGGGCAAACTGCCCCCCTTAGGGGGATGACTGCAGAACCCTGAAGAGACAGACGGCTCCTGGTAACGTCACAGAAGATGGAGATGCAGGTTGCAGCAGCGGCTTAAAGCAGGACAATGCTGGATTTGCTGGGCAGCTGAGCATGTTTTGGGGAAAACCTACTACCTGAACTGATTATATCACTTTAACTTCCAGTTTAGCATCTGGGGAATGTCCTAGATAAGCATCAATGCTCTGTATATCCAAAGGAAGGTAAAGAAAACCTCCAGATAATTTTCTGGACGTTTTCACTTATTTCCTGACTCCACACATGGCATTCGGTTTACTCTAACCCTACTTTCTCTTTCCCTTCTCCCTCTACAATCAAATAAAATCTTATAGTGTATACCAGAAGAGGAAGTTGTAAGAAGGGTTCCAATTTATAGTATTTAGAAAACTGGTATTCTACTTTTAGTGAAGAAAAGTGTGGAGCCTGTGTTCAGAGGCAGGATTCCTCCCCCAAATCTACTTTGTTGGCTTCATCATTGGAAATAGAAAGTAGTGACATTGTTCAGACTGTTCCAACTGACAAAGAGCTACATGTAACCACTTACAGGTACATATAATATATTTGATAGACAAAGGAGTGTCTGGTTATGTGTAACCCACATGCAACAAATTCCTTTTCATTATTCTGCTTGGGAAACGTCTTACCAAAGAAATAAAACCCATTGGGAACTGAAAGCATATAATATTTATTGTAAAAACTTTTGGCATTAGTCTAGAATGGTACTAATGTAGGTTAGGGCTGCGCTCCACACTCTCTAATAAGGCATGTGTGAATGGGCACTGCAAGAATGTTTTGTATTTTTCCAAGCATTTTTTAAAGTGACATGAATAGAAAAATGCAGAGCAAAATGCCACCATAAATTCAACATGCAGGACTTTTTTCCCCCCAATACCACAGTCATCCAGGGGGGTGGCTGGGATGTTTATTGATTTTGGATAAAAAATACAATAATGGAGAAGACAATATGAGGAATCAAGAAAAAGGTTTCCTTTAGCAACTTTTTTGGACTGCATTTAGCACAATTAATTCATAATGCTAAGGCATATATCAAAGACACCATTGTGTTAGAGTCACCAAATTGTGTCAGTGTTCTTTGCCTGGCTCCCAAGTGTTCCTTGTCACATGGGATGTCTCAAGCCATACACCATAAAGATCTTCACTGGTAGGGATGAGGATTGTGTTCTCTGTCTGGTTGGGTTCATGGCAAACTTTGCATATTTGCTGTTAGGCCAAAAGGCACACTTATGGGCAAGTTTCCCAGGTGTCATAAGCGAACACCATAATGTTTTGCCTGACCTGTGAACTCAGGTGAAGAATTATGGCCAATAATGGAACTTTGAAAATGTGCCAGCCCCCTCCATATAAAAGTCAGCTCTCCCAGCATCCTTTTGTCGGTGTGTGTTGGAGTTGGTGGGGGACAGCTGACCGCTTTGTGAGGGAGAGACAGTTTGTGCTAGTTGTATAATGCTAGTAGTGGGGTAGCACAAAGTTATAGAAAGCTATATTCACTAGAGATGCACCGATATATCGGACGCCGAAACATCGGGCGAAAATGGCACTTTTGGTTAAATGCCGAAAGTGCAATTTTTCTGCCGATACAGCGGCGCATCCCTGATTTCTTTCCTCTGGGCGCTGCTCCTTGTCCCAGCGGGGAGGAGAGAAAGTGTGGCAACCAGCCGAGCGCTGCAGGAGGAGAGCGCTGTGAGCGGCCGGCGTCTCTCCTCCCACACCGCTCAGCCTCCTATCACGGTATGGCAGAGCAGTGTGTGGGCGGAGACAGCCCGCGCTGTCACAGGAGGCTGCGCTCTCCTCCCTGCACCGCTCGCTCAGCCTCCTGTGACAGCGTGTCAGAGAGGAGAGTGAGTACAGAAACTCGATGATCAGTGATCGCTGAGTGTTTGTGCATAATTGAGGACATAGTATGTCTACTATATCCTCATAAATATACTCCTTTGACCCACAAGAGGACTACAGCCAAACAAAAGTGTCAGGGAACCAAGCAACTAAAACTGCTGGTTAAAAAATAAGAATTTATTGAAAGCAACAATAAACAAAATAGCAAACAATAGGTAAATCCAAGACATAGTCAGACCCGAAGCCAAAGCGGAGGAGGCAGCCAATCTAGGTCTGGAACCCAGAGAGGAGGATTAACAAGTACATTTGTTGAGACTAGAACCAGGAGATCAGTAGACAGAGCCAGGATCATACACCGAGCTCAGGAGCAAGCAGAGAGCACTTGGTATGTCTGGACAAATGAAAGGGCTGAAACCAAGTAAAAGGACTGATGATTATATAGTCAACTGGAGCCGTATCATCACTGTGAGACAGGAAGTTGCCAGGAGTTTGTCAGTAGTGGCAGAATGATGACGTTTCTGGGTTTGCTCATAAGAGGGTGCCTAGGAGCAACAGTCAGTGTCAGAAACACTGCACATAAGCTCAACCTGCAGCTCAAGTGGACAAGGAAGGGTAAGAAACCCTGACAAAGGGTTTGGCTTTACTTCTATCTTAAGACCCCTGAAAGCTTTTGTCTGTCTGTGTCACAGTAGAGAGATTCCTCTTTATTTCCTGAGAAACAAGAGGAAGTAGTAGGATATTTGTCCAACTGAAGTGAATGCCCCTCCTAGAGAGTTGTCACCAGAATCGGTGTGCGTATCCAAAGGTTTCCCCTCACTTACCTGTTCTGTTTTCCTGTAAAGTTATGTATTTCCCATCACTTTTTGTACTGGGGACAATGGTCATCACAACCGGAACTGACAGAGAGGAAGATGACAGGGCCATGGACTAGGGGGAGTTTTACTCTGTACAAGCCCATCCCCTAGAGCAGGAGTGGGAAACACTGGCCCTCCAGCTGTTGTTAAACTACAAGTCCCATGAGGCACTGCAAGACTGTGACAGTTACAGGCATGACTCACAGAGGCATGTTGGAATTTGTAGTTAAAGCACAGCTAGAGGGCTGGAGTTGCTACCCCTGCCCTAGACAAAATAAGAATAGTCTTCATCAATGGGGAGAGGGCCATTTTAAGTATGTTTAACTTCCCAGAGTAAGGCTTAATGAATACATTTTTTTTTCCTTCAAGAATGTGGTGCTATGAAAGGCTTTAATGTCACCCTGTTCTAGGCAGGGGCCTGTACTGACATCCATTTATATTCTGACTCCGATTGTTGTATTAGCAATTTATCTCTTGTTGAGACCTCAATGCCTGGCCGGTATAAGCAGTAGGGATGCACCGATACCGGTTCCGATACCAGTGCCGATACTTGGCATTTTCATGAGCACTCCCAGGGCTGCAGCTGGAACCTAGCTCTGGCACTCCACCACTGTCCTGAAATCATTAGTCTGTATTGTTTTAGAAAAACTGTGACATGACAATAAACAAAAATGTATCAGTACTTGTATCTGTAAGTACTTGGGCAATCAGTACTGGCAACAATTGTATCGGTGCACCACTTTTTATATCTTCTGCCGTGACAGGATCGAGAAGTGAGCGAACGCCGCTATGTGTTCGCTCACCTCCCGATCTACTGAGCCGACCTGTGACAGTTTCATTGTCACAGGTCGGCTAGAACTATGAGGATGGGTGATAAGCACTCACCTCATAGTTCTCCTTTAAGGAAAGTAACTATGACAATTCTCACTTCACATTAATATAAATATTTACCATGAATATGAATTGTGTGATATTTTTACAACTGTGTAACAGTTCAGTTTTTCTACATTGATGTGGAGTTGGCTATTCACAGTGTGGTTTGGTACAGTATAACATTCTAAGAGAATCAAAGCTTGTTGGTTAAAAACAATAATAAAGAATAAGGTATACTTGTGGAACAATAGAAAGACGTAAAAGAGGAAAACACACCAACCTAAGGCATTCTCATAAGACCACTTTATTTTTAAAAATCATGAAGCAGAAGAGGAGCGGACATATCAACTGCAATGCTGATGGAGGATGAACACCAGAGCAAGGAGTACCATGGATGTTAAAGTATTTGTCTCTTCTCCTGATTGCGGCTGCAATGTTCTGCAGGCTCTAATTCAATTGCATTGTAATTAAACATATAGAAATGCACATTTTTGTTTTTTATCGGTGTGTGTGTATTTATTTGCTTTTCTCAAAGATGGTCTGTGCCTTGAAAGGAAGCCAGATTTGAGATTCAGCTACCCCGAATGTATGGTTTAATAATTTCCCATTGACGTAAAAGGCAGACAGCGGTAACTGAATTGTGTTGCTCGGTTTGAAATAAGAAAAAAATCCGCCCTGACCATGCTGTGCCAGTAGGTGGCGCTGTGCGCAGTGGCAGCTACCACTCCGGGTCCGCCAACAGGTGGCGCTGTGCGCAGTGGCAAGTATTAACTCCGGGCTCGCCAGTAGGTGGCGCTGTGTCGAGTGCCACTTGTCTATTTTCTTGCTGGTAAATTGGACGAGTCAAGATTGCCCGCTAATCTGAATGGCTGCCCAGGCCACGTGACAGGTGTTTGCGGAAGCGGCTGTGCGTGCGTGTTTTGCGGGAGGAGTGCAATGGCTCAGGCTTCTCAATCCAACAGGATTCCGCCGGAGGATCGGCCGAGGCCGCGGAATGTCTCCCGGGAGGAAGCTCTGAAGCTAGAAGGCTACAGACACGCCTGCCATGTCATGCTGTATGCGCCGACAACCGCCAAACTCTTCGACCGTGTCCCCATCAGATACATTGTGCTGGTGAGAAATATGTAAAGCGGACCAGTCTCCTGGGAAACGGCACGGTTAAAGAGCCTGTCATCAATGAATTTTCATGAGATGACACTGTTACTAACTGAAGCTGGTTATATAGAAAAATGGTGACCTTGCCCCCACCCAGCATGTCTGACCTGTGATTTTCACAATGGGATTAATAGATTCTGGTGTTGATGGCTCAGGAGGGGTTAAAGTGGAAGTAACGTATTTGTTCTTATAGGAGCTTTTTGCCATGTTGTGCAAGTATGTACATTATATTATGGCACGCTTACCATGTAAAATGTCCCCCTCCAGTGCTGCAATGCCTGTCATCTGCCTTGATGCTACAATGATGTTCCTTCTGTCTGCTCCTTGTCTTCTGTTAGCTTCAGGAGACTTTGGTCATCTTGACTGATGTAACTCCCGGCATCTGTATGCTGGGCTGCGCATAAAAATCTGTCAGTATATAATGGCTAAAGATTTTTGAGTGAAATACTAAATGTATAGGGCAGGACTGCGCTGGGGGTACAGATACTACACCTGTACTGGCGGAGGGTGAGGACTGTTTGCCGAAAGGTAAGTGTAGCCGGGGGGGGGGGGAATTGTGCGTGTAGGAGAGTTCTGCTGCCTGGCCAACCCAATATGGCACAGAGTGGAATGGCAGCAGCACACAATGTTCTACGCGTGCGTTTATTTGCATGCAGATGGCGGGGGCAGCGGGGTTGGTTTTAATTATTTTTTTTCTACTTTATCACATTTTATTTATAACTTTTTTTTAAAAAACTTTTAATTTTTATTTACTTTTTTTCCCCACTTAACTTTATTTCTATCACATAGGGGATTCAAATCTCCTATGTGATAGTTTGGAGGTAACAGTTTCTCTTTATGTAACCTGCCCTCCAACACAGAACAGATGTTCTGTGCAGTTCCTGACCGCTGAGACAGGTGGCGCTGTGATTACAAACGCTCCGGTCTCAGAGATCACACACAGCAGACGAAGAATGGACTTCGTCTGCTCTACGGGCTCTATGGTGAGCTTATGTGCCGTGGTCACGGGTCCCCCAGAGCAGAGGGGGACTCTGAAAACCACGGCAGGTGGGGAGCGAAGGCCCGTACACTATCGCCACTGCTCGATTTGATATAGGTGATCTAATCCGATCACTTGTATAAAAACGAGCGGCGGCTCCACTATGTACATTTAGCTCTGCTTGCCTGGAGCAGGGCTAAATGTGCAAAAAAAGAAAACTACTCGCCCGGCGACGGAAACCATGTCCTGGGCGTCGGGCGATAGGAATTCCACACCCCTGCCTTAGAAATGTTGTGCCAACATGGTGAGAACAATTCACTGTTGAAAGTAACAATGTGCTTCTTCCTTACACCCTTGTAAGAATATTCTGAGGGCAAACAGACCAAATTCTATGACCCCTTACAAGGTGGTCAAACAGCGCTCAGATGATATCTCCAAATGTTAAGCTGGTAATTTCATCCAGTCATGCTCCCGGCAGGAATCAAACCACAACAATCTTTATCTCAATATTGCAGCAGGAAGGAAAAGGGAAATCCCATAGCTTAAAATTGTTACTATATTAAAGGCCATCTCCAGGCAAACAAAAAGCCACCCTTGTGGTGGGGCTACCCCCGCACTGTAAGGTTTAACTACTAATGTTTTCTCCAGGGGACTGGAGTAAAGCAGATTTACTTACCTGCTCCCGCTGGCCCCCTCCAGGCTGCTTGACCGGTTCCCGCATCCTCTCCTTCCCTTGGCTTTGGTGGTCCTATTTGTCATCAATTTGTTTTGATGACCATTATCACTGGATGGGGTTTTTTTTTTTTTTTACTTTGGAGAAAATCCAAATTTTTGAATTGTCACCAGAACAGGGAAATATTGGAGGTCTTCCAGTGGGAACACTTGTCCCAGAGACCGCTGTCTAAGAAAGGATTTTCCTCACTCTGTCACTGGCTACAGGCACAGAGTTGACCAGGCAGGTTCTGTGCTTTGCGATCACTGTGACTTACCATCGCAGCGATCACATGGCAATGTTTAGACTTGTGAGCCTTCCTCTTACAAAGGAGGAATAGGAAAGAATGAATGAATCATTCATTCAATAGTTCAAGATCCAAAAAACATCAGCAGATCTTGAGGGCTGTGGATTGATATTTTAATCCTTCAATCCCCCCCCCATCTTCTTGATTATGTCAGCTCCATCCTGTCTCTGCAATTACCTGTGTATTTACCCCTTCACCTTCCGTATACTGCAGATCTGTTCAGTAACCCCTTTATTTCCATCCTCCCAATGTATGTATGTATGTGACCTGTACGTTAACCCCTCCTCCTCCCTCTGTGTACATTAAAGGTATTTAGTGCACCATCATCAAGCTCTGTATTCTGCTCTTCTTTTTCTGAAAATCGTGGCAAAACAATTAGCTCACTTTTGGATGTCTACTTTCCCAAAAGGGCACATTTCAGGGGTTTACGTACTGTTCTGGCATTTTTATATGATATATTTTGTAACAGAAAACATATTTTGTATAGTATTTTTTTTTTTTTTTTAAACACAGTGGTTATTAAATCCCACTTAAAAAAGCTATATCTGTCTCTACAAATTGATATCAAAATTCATTTGAGTTCAAACTTTATTGACAGAGTAATTTTCAAACTATCAGCACTGAAAAATGTCCTGGACAGGAAGGGATGTAACATGCCAATCCTGAAGTAGATAACAAGATTATGCCAAAACCATGAATATGCATGAATCAAAAACTCCTAAGGGGCTTCTTTAACCACTGCGGTAGCTATGCTCCTGATATCGTCTTCAACAGGTGATGCTCTTAATTACAAGTGATCCGGGCAGCTGTACAGCAGCCTGCTAATGTTTTTATTTCAAAACTTTTAAAGCTGGCCATACACCTTACAGCCATCGCAAGACTTTTGTGATATTGTTGGTAAGACTTTTGTCTTGCGATGGTTGTAAGGTAATTAAAAAAAAAACGTACAATCTGCCTATCTTGGACAGGCAGATCGTACTTGCGATCAACGCAAGCCCTCCCCGCTAAGGGGCGGGCTTCCGATGACTGCAATGCTCAATGGGCAGTGTGCGCTTGCGCACCCCGGCCCGTGCGGCATTTGTCTTACAAGCACACCACAAACCCGCCGACAATCGCACGATTCTCGGCGGCTGTAGCTCGCGGTATACTGAGACGCCGCAGCTGAAGCGGATCCCGACAATTGTGCCAGGATCCCGCCCAGCTGCGTGACTGACAGCTGGCTCTGCCTCTAGGCAGAGCCAGCTGTACCCGCCCCCTCTCCGTCCGTTCCGCCAGTCAGCGCTGGCAGATCGGAGAGGGGGGAATCCAGCCCCTCCCCTGTCACGGCAGAGAGCCGTGACAGGATCGAGAGGTGAGCAAACGCCGGTATGTGTTCGCTCACCTCCCAATCTACTGAGCTGACCTGTGACAGTCTCATTGTCACAAGTCGGCTAGAACTATGAGGTGAGTGAAAAGCACTCACCTCATAGTTCTCTTTTAATGCGGCCCCACCTTTTCTCTTTTACCAACAAATTCTGTTTTATATTGTGTTTGTGTGCAGTGAAATTCATTTTGTTTGTTTTTTAACCTAAAATCAATTTGATAAACCTTTGCATAAATATTGTGCAACATAAAAAAAATTTATCTAACTTTTTTATATTCTACAGGGCCTCTGCTTTCAGAAAGTATAGATTTGTTTGCTAGTTTAAAATAATTTTCTATAGAAAAATTCAGATTTTAGCATAATGAAACAATTGCTCCTGTAGTAAGGCAGTTGACCTTTACCCCCTTTCACTAAAAATCACATCAGCATGCAGCTCTGCATGCTGATATGAAATCATCTTACATTTATTAGATAAAACAAACATATTTTTCTTACAGTTACTGTTTTTCCACTTTCTGGTCTTCTTGGGCATTACTGATGGTGCCTGTGTCTAAGAGATGCACACTGGGAAGGTAACATCAGCAGTGCATTGGTAGGAAATCTCATCTGTAAACTGCAAAATCCCAGGAGATCTCAGGGAAGGCATTTTTCTCCCCTGTCCTAGTTCCAGGAAGTAAAGGGAGATAGATTAATCTGCCCCTAGTAAAAATGGCCACTGTTAGAAGAATGTGGAGGAAAACAAAAATAAGGTATGCAAAGCTGTCAATTATTCATAGGTATCTGTTTGTAGATTGTCATTACTAAATATTTCTAAATGTGCCTTTGTTGCTATTTTAAAGCTATGGGTAAGTTCCTCTTTTAAAGAGTATGACGAAGGTATAACTGTAATGTGTTCAACTGGGTAGTGAAGTCTATTACTGCTGGTTTCTTGCATGCAGGAAGATCTGCAAATACCTTAGAGACTGAGGGCAGAATTGTGGTTAGGGACAGATGACGCTTATATTGTCGGTAAGGCTGGCCAGTTGTATAGTCCAGCTGATATGAAAAAATGGTGTTTGAGAAGCATCTATCCCATCTATCTAGCTATCCCATCTATCGCAGTGGATGTCCATCAACTTAGGCTCTGTAAAATGTAGTGAATGTCTATAGCCAAGGTCCCTAACAGCAGCATAGTATGAGCTTCTTACCATTTTTGTACAGTGCTGTATTTTATTTTTGTTTCCTTTTAATCTTCTAGTGATTTTACGTATGACTTTGTTGTTTTTCCATGTGTGTCTTTTTGTCTCAGATGATGATGAGGTTTGATGGTCGTCTTGGTTTTCCGGGAGGATTTATAGATCCAAGAGATTCTTCTCTGGAAGAGGGCCTGAATCGGGAACTGCTAGAAGAACTGGGGGAATGTTTTACCACGCTGAAAGTAACGGAGGATAATTATAGGAGTTCACAGGTCCGAGAGATTCCACAGAAGGCCGTCACGCATTTCTTTGCCAAAGAACTGAATTTAGAAGAGGTGGAAATAATTGAAAAAGAGGCTGTCCGTGCAAAAGACCATGGATTAGAGGTGTGCAGAAGTATTGCCTGTTATAGCATGAGGTCATTTATTATGTGGTTTGTCTGAATACATTTAATTTTGCTTATCTACTTAAAGAGACACTATCAAAGCCGCCCACCCACTGATAGTTACCACTCCAGTGATACCCCTCTGCTCTTTCCTCAGGCAGACCTGGCACAAAATACTTGATATGAGGAGCATGTGACCTACTGAAAGAGAGGATGAAGTCCCCACTCCCTCTAGGCGGGCAAATGGGTGAAGTGTGTGTCTGTGTCGGGACACCCCCCCCCCCCCCCATTTCAGAGTTGTGAGGTTAAATAAAAAGAAAAAACGGCCAGGTATGTGTGTGTGGTCAGCATTAGTCTAGAAGAAAGTTTGGTTTAAGTCTATCACAAAAAAAAATCTGTGCCTAAGGGTTTGGGAAGGGAAACTGCACCCCATAAAAGCTGTGGTTGTCAGATTTTATGAGGTATAGGGGGACAGAAATGCAACCTTTGACATCACTAAAGGACTGCACATTTATATTCAGTGTACAGTATGTAATGCTACAAAAGACTGTCAGGAGATGGTCAGAGACGGTGGACATACTACTTGAGATGGTCAGAGACGGTGGACATACTACTTAGTACAGGGGGTGTGGAAATTTTGAAAAAACTACTTGCCCAAGGGCTAAAGCGGGGGCCCAATCCACTTATCCCTCAGGACAATCTAATTGTCCTGATATGGTTTTGGTAAAATCTTTTTGTATTTAACCATGCTAAGAAGCACTTTATATTGGTCAGCACGGTCAGGTTGTGAATGCTCAGTTTGCTAGCAAAATTTAAAATCCATGGCGCAGGGCTACATTAGACGGCAGTACAGGGTACTGATGGTACATCTGTATCGGCCGAGGGGAAGGACTGTTCACAGAAAGGCAAGTATAGCAGAGGGGGAAGAGGGGCCAGATTTGAGCGGTTAATTCCATTTTCCAAAATTACTTGGACAAGTGAACTTACCCTTTAATGCACATTGTGTGTGTTAGAGCAGTGGTTCTCAACCTGTGGGTCGCAACCCACAGTTGAGGGGGTCCCCACTTGCCTTGTGCTGCTCTAGGTAAGAGGCTCCTCAGCCTCCTCCTAGCGCAGCAGTGTCAGTACTCCTAGATAGCGCTGCAGCAGCAGCGACCGGAGAGTATCAGAGAGAGGGGAGCAGGCATGAGTGTGGAGAGATGAGTGCTTGGGCACTACAGAGCCTTCACTGGATGCCACCAGAGAGTCCGCATACCCTGCTGAGAGCCCACACAGATACTAGTATTGGTGCATCCCTAAATTTTACTGTTGGGGGTCACCACAACTTGGCAAATGTTACCAAGGGGTCCCGGCCCTAGAAAGGTTGAGAACCACTGTGTTAGAGTGCTGCTGCCTGGCTTCCACAGTATGGCACACATTGTAATGGGGGCAGCACACAATTCACTGTGTGTGTGTTGATTCGCATGCAGATGGCAGGGTTGGTTTTAAATTTGTAATTATTTTTTTGTTAATTTTCACTTAACTTTATTGCTATTACACAGGGGCTAACACAGCCCCTATCTGATAGCGTGTGGAGGTGACAGGTTCTCCTGATATTTGGGGTCTCCCTACTAGACTCCAGTACAGAAAATCGCTCTCCTGTGCAGCCTGGCTTGTGACAGCTGAGACAGAAAGCACTGTGAGCACAGCACTCCTGTCTAATTGATCACACAGAGCAGATCGGAGAACGGACATTCTCTGATCTGCTCTCGGCCCTCCATCTTGAAGTCATTTGCCGTGTTCTTGGGTCTCCTAGATGCACGGGAGATTCAAAAAACATGGGGGGGGGGGTGTTACAAGCAGACTGCTACAAGTGAACTTGGGGTTGTATACCCACCTAGATCACTTGTACAAAACAGGCAGCAGCTACGAGCAAACCTTTTTAGGCCATAGTTCTCTTTAGGGTCTCAGGAAGACATTTATGAATGTCCTCCTGTGACCCAAAACTATGTGACCGCTCTATGCTGACAATGCAGAGCCACGCTGCAGCCAGGAAAGAACCTGACAATTTTGTCGGGATCCATCCCGCTGCCTATTTGACAGCTGACTCTGCCTATCTAGAGGCAGAGCCAGCTGTACCCTCCTCCTCCCCTGTCCGTCACCTTAGTGCAGGAGAAACAGAGAGGGGGGAATCCCTGCGGAATGTGATCGCTCAGTCCTCGATCAATAGAGCCAATGTGTGACGGCTTCAGTCTATTTCACTCATCCCATATTTATCCTTTAATGGGCTCTGCAGGCAATGCTTATACATATACAGAAGTATGATTGTGATTTATGCCATTTAGCTTTTATTTTTCTTATTTTTTAGGTTATGGGAATAGTCCGTGTTCCCCTTTATACGTTACGTGATGGTTTCGGAGGTCTTCCGGCCTTCCTATCAAACAACTTCATTGGTAACTCCAAAAGCCAACTCCTATATGGGCTGCGTTCCCTCCGCCTGCTTCGCGAGGACCAGATCCAAGATGCAATATGGTCTAGTCAGAATATTCAGTTTTGATTCTCTGTAGTTTTGGAAGATAGAGATGAGATGTTCCCATTTCATAATTGTGCATCTGATTGTTTCTGACTGTATCAGTATGATTTCTCTATGTCCAAATATATCATGATTGTTCAATGCACTTAAAAGCTATCCAGCTAAAATTATATTTTCTTTCTAAGTAGGTGTAATTATGTTAAATCATTTAAAAGGACATATTAACCTTATGAATACTCTGGGAAGATTGTGCAACCGTAACAGAGGTTCCGGTGTTCCAGTGCAATGGTGTCATACTCCCATGGCTTGGGTTTCCTATTCATTCTTGCAGGGCTACCAATAGGGAGAGTATGACACCATTGCTCTGCCTAAAGCCAGTAAAGGGGGAGGAAGAACACAAGCTCCTAGGTGGAAACGGAAAAGGACAGCACCTGCTTAAAACAGTCAACCACATTACAGATTAACCAAATAGTCTTTTAAAGTATATGTCCAGGATTTAGTTTTATTCCTTTATTTTGGACAGTGTGGGAAAGTATTAGAACCCCCTATTGGGTTTTTTTACTGTTATTTGGGGCTCCATTAGAGAGATTTTCTTTCACTTCGTGTCCTAGTGACAACAGTTTGACCAGACAGGAAGTGAGAGAAAATCTGCAAGAGGGACACGGACAGCAATAAAAAGCTTTACTAAAAAGAAAAATCATTTTCCTTTCTGTCTATGTTAAAGTGTTAGAGATTTTTCCCTCATATCCTGGCTGGTGAAACTGTTGTCACCCTGGCAGGAATTAAGAGGAAATCTCTCTAATGGAGCCTTGGGTAGCAGTAAAAACCGCAAAAGGTAAAGAAGAAAAAATAAAGTGTTTGGCAGGATATGCACGTTAGGTGAAGCTTACATATCATGATTTAATAAAGAGTTTAACTGTGCTAGTGCTGAAATGCATACTGCACTATAATGTAAATGCAGAAATGCTTATTTTATATTTACAGATTATGTTCAAGTCTAACGATTTTGGGTTCAGCAGACTGAATACAGCTTATTGTTGGTGCAAATGATATCTTTGACACTATCCGTTATTTAAGAGACATTGGGAAAAGCACTTCAAATACACTAACTGTAATAGCAGAGATCCAGCAACCTAAGGCTAGGCATAGATGTAATGTTTTCTCTTTTTCGGCCCACAGATAAGTGTGGGTGGGGGAATCTTACCTTCTGGCTATTGTATTCAGGCAGCCATGACAAATTGAATACCCAAACAATGACTGCATCTAATGAAATCACTGATCAGCGCAGAATTTTCCACCTGTCCTGCTCAGTCAATGTATAAAATTTACTTTTGTCGAGCCAGCGGTGCTAACGATTCCTGTTGAGTTGGCTGAGATTGGAGCTGCATATGGCTATCTTAATGCAGCCTTCTTAAACCTTTGTCATCTCGAAATCACATCATGGTCCTTTCTGATGTAGCAATGTCAATACTATAGTTCTTCAAGTCAGTATTTGCATAGTCATGCTCCTGCCTAATGTGGCGGTACTGTGACCTGCTGATTGGTTGCTTAGGAAGGGGTGTTGCCGGGCTGTACTACCTGAAACAGGAGTAACTTTGGGGTGTGGCGGGGACACTTTGCTCCATTAACACAAAGGTGACCATAAGAAGAGATATGGACTGGCAACTCGTGCTATTGGGTCTTTGTTACAGCTGTTAGTATACTAGTTTCTTTTTTCCTTCAGATTGCTTTATTGGGTAAGTCACTGTATCATATGAAGACCGTCATTTGTTTACAATAATCTGTATGCATTATGAAAATGTTTGCAGATTTGTGTCTTTATAAAAAGCTTATCAAATGACGCCACACCATTCTGTTTTACAAATGACTGTATATACTATATGTATAACATTTTTTATTTACAGTTTGAACATGTAGCAGTTTTATGCTTTTGGTTGTTTTGCTTTTGTTGCACTAATAAAGGTAATGCTGTTCACGGTTCGGTAGTAAATACCACAATATAGTCTGAGCTCTTACTTTTTATATAAACTTAATGAAGAACTCTTAGTAGCGTTTAGCTCTAAGGCGGTGATGCACCTTTCTGTAACAAAGGGCTCACGCATGGTGGGCTGACAATACTGTTTCGAACTGTGAGTGCTGTTATTGCCAGGATCTCCAGGTAAACACGTTAACGGATTCATTAAAAAAAAATTATTTGATTAAAGTAAAATGATGGCGTACGATAAAAAAAAAAATGTGCTGCAGCAGTTAATTAAAAGTGCATCTGCCCTTGGAAAAGCCCCACAAATACTAGTTGATGCTGCCAGTAAAGTCCACCAAATGCATCTTCCTGGAATGATGTGGCAACAATGCTCCACTGCTCCTAAAGTCAGAGCAGAGTTGCCACTCATGTGTTTGCTTGCACTAAGTGGAATGAGAGGATGTTACAGGGGGCATGGTTATTAGCATTGTCATAAGCCTGTAACTTGTCCATCAGATCCTGGCATTTTGCTGAAACTCTCCAACTGTGATCTGCTGTGTGTGAGTGTCACAAATAAAGAAGGATTTGGCTAAGTCGGGGCAGGTGAAGGTTTTTGTTTACTTTGAGTGCATAACATACCGTGTTTCCCCGAAAATAAGACACTGTCTTATATTTTTTTGGGCTCAGAAAAACACACTAGGTCTTATTTTTATTTTTTTTATGTACAACAATCCACATTTATTCATGTCCAACAATATGGTGATCAGGGCAATCAGGGGTGCCGTACCTTTCCAAGAGCAATTTTCTAACCAATCGCTTGCCAGGATGAGCGAAGCGCACTTTCACTATCGAATTCTCACAGGCGGAGTGCATTTGGTATCACTCCGCCTGTGACAGGAGCTGGCTCTATAGAGGAGGCATCGGCTTATGTTGCTCTGCTCCCCCTCTGGTGCTGCCTCGCTTCCTCTAGCCCTGGCTTCGTTGGCACCGCTGATTCTCTCCCGCCTCTTCAAGTTCCCCCTTGTGCCACCACTGGCCCTGGGAATGGTCACAACTAGGTCTTATTTTTGGGGTAGGTCTTATATTGTAACAATTCCCAAAAATAGTACTAGGTCTTATTTTCGGGGAAACAGGGTAGTAATTGTGATTTGTTACGATTGAGATGCAAGACAAACATCCTAAAAAATACATTTGGGTTTTTCATTCACTTATGTCCGTTGACTAGAGTGAGGAAGGGTGAGGGTTTTATCACAATCTGACTCTTCTGATCGAATTTAAATCTAGCACCTCACCTCTACTTGTTCCAGAGGTTTGAAGTCAAGTGACAAAAATGGATCCCCCACCTAGAGTTACATTGGAGAATTAAGGGTAGATATTACATGAATGGAGAGGAAGTGAGTTTCTTTGCAGGATCGCCAGGTACAAATACAAGAAAATAAAAAAAGAATGCAGTGCAAGGACTGGTAAGCATCACTTTAACAGGTGCCCATTTTGAAACAATTGCTTTGTATCATGCATGGTAGTCTTTAAAACTACCAACAAGAGTAGTGATAAAGCAAGTGAAGTACATCTTAAATATGCTGTAAAATGGCCTCCTGTTGTATCTAGGCATGTTTTCTCTAATGGTACAATAATAATATGACACAAGACAATTGTCTTGTAGTGTCGTTTGGCAACGGTGTTCAGACACTAGATGAGAAAATATTATATTTTACCTGAGACTTCTGTTAATTTTTCCAACTATTCAATGTATAGCTCTTCCACGGTATAAAAGGTATTTATCCACAGGAAACTGTACATGTCCAAAATTGTTTTGTTGCCTGTGTCATGTCAAGATTTCCCTTTACTTCTTGTCCCAGAGACACAGCGGGAAGTAAGAGGAGATCTCTTCAAAACAAGTGGGTACACCTCTTGTTACTTTGACTCAAAATTTTCAATTTTCCATCTTTCTGTATTGGAAACAATGATCACCAGGGCAAATAGAGCAGGAGAATCTCTTCAGCAGGGACACAGACAGCGATACAAACCTGTTTACTGGTATCTCACATTCCTTAAAGTGTATCTCCAATAACATTTTTAAACCCGCATAAAAACAGTGCACACTTTTTATATTAAGTTATGCTATGTCCTTATTTTTCCTCCCTTTGCATCACTTTAAATTCAACGGTTGATCTTTTCAGTTCTTTGTTGTCCACCTCTTCTTTTTTTGTTGGAGGGCTGACAATGTTTGCTGGCAGTTGGTGAAATTAGTTTATTGACCAGCCTTACTTCTTCCTCCAGTGAACTAAAGGCCAAGCTAGTCGCTGGCCACAGAAGAAGGGGGAAGTACAGGAGGCTTTGCAATCATATGGTTGCAACAAGAAGAGGGAAAAATGGATATATAGATGGTGTTTTTAAAAGAAGAATAACAGTTGTATAGACTAATAGTGCAATCACCAAGATCTATATTTTGCTGTTGGAGTAATAAGTAGGGATGCACCGATACCGGTATTTCGGTATAGAGTACGAGTACATATATATATATTTTTTTTCCGTACTCGCGAATACCGAGTATCAAAAGTCCAATTCAGGAAGCCAGGTGGTAATGACTCGCCACCCGGCTTCCCGATTAGCAGGGAAGCTGTCCCCATGCTTCTCGTCACTAGGTGACTAGAAAGCATGGAGTCTGCTGCCCGGCCAATCGGGAAGCCGGGCAACGTGTAATGACGCACTGCCCGGCTTCCTGATACTGGAAGCATTGCACTAGACATTGAGCATTTGGGTGAGTATGAGTACTTGCCCAAATACTGGGCATCGATACCAATACAAGTATTGTTATCGGTGCATCCCTAGTACTAAGCCTTTATGTTTACTTTAACCATTTGGTTTTCTTCCTTCTTAAGCTCATAGACCTCCCTGTAATTTCTACCACCTCATTCTGGTCACTCTCTCTACTGGGTACTGACTAATATTTAGTACACTTGTATTTTTCTTCTACTATACCTCTAGTATGTTCAGGGGTGTGGACATTTTTTTAAATACTACTTGCTGAAGGACTAAAGTGGGGGCCCAATCTACTAGTCCTTCAAAAAAATTATTTCAACAAAAACCGTATTCAACCGTACTAA